CACAGTGCAAACCCTCAATGCGCAAAAACCGCGCGGTCACGGTTGACGCCGTGACGTTTGTGCACGTCTTAACCGCAAGCTACTTACTAACCGTAGTGACGAGTCACGCTGTGTACAGCTACGCCCTTGTGGCCATTGACACTCCATGCTGCCAACGGCCTCTCAAACGCTCCAGAAGATGATAGTCGCATACTTTTGCTCTCATCAATAAAGCTGAACTTGCCCATGGGTGCATGCGGGCGTCCAAATCTGTATGCGAACGTGTAATTTCTGTAGCAAACACAGAGCCGTGCCTTCTCACTCGCCCACGACTCTGCGTGCACAAACGGGTACATCTGCAGAATTTACTCACGTGACCCACGGTGTGACCGTTAAGTACCCCTTACGCCCACCCTTGTGTGCTCTTTCGCCTTTCTCGCGCACACCAGTTTTTGCATGAATCTTAGAACGAATCTAGATGGGCTATAGGCTACGTTAACATAGCTCTTGTGCATTCTTGCGTGCATACAAAGCATACAAACCGCCTGCAGTAATCAGTCCAGAGCACAACATGCCAACAAACGCCAACGTTCCTTCACATCTCTGCCTTACGAAGATGCAGTACGCATCAGGCTTCTGAAGATGCTACAGTGTCACTCGGCTGCTGTCAAGCTTCGAAACCATTACAAATATGTCGGCTACGTGCGCGCACGTACGCCGACACAACGTGAACGCTCAGATTGACAAACAAATACGAAGAGAGAGAGGAGAGAGAGAGAGAGAGAGAGAGAGATGGGAACTTGCACGAGCTACCAACATGCTACAAGAACAGGTTCACGGCGCCTCTTCTGCCCACCAGCACCTTTCCCCTTGCCCTTCTCACTGCGTGTCCATCGGCCTGGGAAGCAAGCTGCCAGCTGCACTCTGCGCTGCAAACGTCAGCAAGCTGCGAGATTCGCAGAAGCCCTTCTCGTATACCCAGCTCAAGCCAGTCGCCTCGCTTTCCACCGCCTTCTCCAGCCCCATCTCTATCTCTGTGATCCTTTCCCTTGCCGCCATATCCCTTGTCCTGTGAAGGCAGAGGACACGAAGACGAGAACCCCTCTGCCACCTTTGCACACCGACAGGCCGAGCCGGGCCGAGCCGAGCCGTCCTCGGAATTGGGACCTGGCCGGAGGACGGCCTTGCGCTCACCACGCAGCCAGTGGTTGACGTACTCGCGCTGGGGATCCTGGGCTCGGTGGCCTACAGTCCTCATACTGTACCACTGCATCCTTGCAAGGTAAGGAGCATAGTCTGAAAGCTGCTTCTTCGTGTTGAACTTGTTGACTCGCTGACCTGTGAGACCGGCGGCTGCCACCTCGGTTGACATCGGCACATCTTGCACAGCTCCAGCCCCGGATGCACCGTGCCGTCTGGCCACCCAGTTGCCCCAGTTGGAGCAGGGGTCGTAGTCTAGCAGATACTCTTCGAAGTGTGCAGCGCCATAGCGCCAGTCTACGCCCAAATCGAAGATCAGGAAGCTTGCCTGTGAACAGGGCTTGCTCGCTTCGTCGCTTCGACTTCGAGGAGGGAGCAGAAATCGTTTCTTTCAGTCACTTCAGTCAAGCTGCTACGTTCTGACGCCCTCGATTGCTCATGAAGCCAGTGGCGCTGAGCTCGCGCATGTTCGCATCGACAAGAGGGTCCCCCGTTTTGCCCTCCTTCCACCTCGGCCAAGGAGAAAAATCCGAGCCGGAGGCCGACGCTTCGACGGGAAATCGGCTCCCGAGCGCCTTTCGAGCTTGTCCGGAGAGCCTCGCCAAGGAGTCCTCAACAAAAACTCGTGCGGACTCTTCTGGGAGCAAAGGGGCTTCAAAGGCAGTCAGCAGCGATTCGGTCCTGTCACCGGTGACGCCCCCACGGACAAAAATCTTGTCTCCTGAGTTGGGATGGTGGCTTCCAGCGTTCCTCAACCAGACATCTTCGGAATCTGCCCGACGCTCGAGCTTCCGTTCAGAGTGGGACAGGCGGGTTAGCTGGCTGTAGCACGATAAGTGCGAATCTCCACTAACAGTGCCGCACTTCGTCAGATATGGCGCGACAGAACCATGGATTGAAAGTGCCTGAACTCTGAGAGGTTCCGTGCATCGGATGCCTCCAGGGTACGGGTACGGTCAAAGCCTAAGCCCAGGTTCCTTGACTCAACGCCATGTAGATGAAGAAGTCTCGCCAAGTCAGCTCAAAAATGAGCCTGAGAACAGAATCATGTCAAGGCAAGCCAGGTGACAGCTGATCTGCATCCCAGAAGCCAGTATGTCGACTTGTTTTTGATGCGCCTCTCCGTCTCGTAGCGCTGGGCCTGCAAAGGCAACTGATCAGCGTCCTTGAATTTACTCGGAGGCATCGTGCCGCCTCGGACCAGATCCGTCGTGGGGAGATGCAGCCAAGAGCCAGCCAGGGGCTGAGTTTAGAGGAGTACCCTTCACCAAGCATTCCGTTCCTGCAGCTGATCCAGGGATTGAATTTAAAGGGTTGAAGACGTCATTGATGCAACCGCGGCAAGCACAGTAGCACAAACCGTTTATGAAATCCGTAGGTTCCGAAACCTGAGCATAGATCTTTCCATATCTCAGCTTTCATATTAAAGAACCTGGGAACGCCAAATACCATAGAATCCTGGCGAATATATTCGGCTGTGTCTTAGCTGCAATCGGTTCAGGCGCCTCCGAGAACCCGTCACAGTGAGGCCCATAGCGAAGGGTTTAGGATTTAGGAACCATAATCCTGAACCCTAAACCCGAAACGATCAACATTCTGTCAGCAAAAAAAAGCGCACAGTTGGCAGGGGGTGGAACCGGAGAAGCGCATGGAACTGGCTAGCAGGTGCCCCTGCAACCTCGAAAGCTTTGGAACTCCACAACATCATGCAACATCCTGTAAATCTGCCGCCTTCCTGCGAGACTCCAACCCTAGAGGACGAGAAGCTTTTTGCAGTTCGAAAAGAGGCCAGCAACAAAAGCAGAGACGGTCCGCAAACAAACGGGCAAGCTCAGCTATGTCTATGTCTGCATAGTCTCCGGATGTCGAAATAGTCTTTCAGGTGATCATCATCGAACATCCACTTCTGCAGCCGTGCCAGCGCCTGAAAACAGGTGGCAACTCTGCGTCGCTGAAATTCTGAAACCAATCGACAACACTTACTTTGAAGGCAAGCTGCTGCATCCTCGCCGCCTCGAAACGGCAAGACGCCTGCACATACGTGCCCGTGTCCGACATGCAATGCCGGAGAGAGATGTTTATGACGCCTAATTGTCAATGCCCGTGCTGCTGTACATGTATGTTGTTTCCGGTACCTGTTCTGTGTAGACATTGGCCCTTTAACGTGATCTTACATGTATATCTTCTTATATAGGAGACCTGAATCAACACAAGGCCTCTCGGATCATCTTGCATTGCTTCGGCGACCTCACTGTCGTCGTATCCAAGCTGCTGTAGAGTTGGCAGGAAACCTGCGCGCGGGGTCTTGCACCGGAACATGCAGACTGAGCCTTGCGGCAACAAAGCTCTTCATGTCTACATACCTAGCCATAACAACGAGAATGGCATCATCGACTTCAGTAGTGGCAATAGCAACATAGCAATAACTATAGGACTACAAGCTGTGAAAGCAAACTATACGCCCATTTATGCAGGGATCAACGGCTCATGTTCAAGCCGATCGTTAGTGACTTCAAGATTTCCGTAGAAACTTGCTGGAAATCTTCGACATTCGGTGGATCGGCGTGAACCTGAATCCGTTTCAAGCCGGTTCAATTTATAGCACGAAACAGCTTTAAAGTCTAATCCGTTTCTCTGCAAGTTGAAGGTTTCTGTCAAAACTTCGCCGGGAAGCTTCAATCTATACACAGAACGGGGATACACCCACAGAAGATGTATAGATAGCTAGAAGCAGGAACGGCGTTGACGATACTACCCCACATAGGTACGAATGATCATCTTCAAGGCCGCGCGTGCGCCTAAGGCAGTCTCGAGCTCACCCTGCTTCTTCGGGAGGGAAGGCAGCTGCTTCGGCGCCGGCACCGGGTTCCGGATCTGGCCGCGGCCTTCGGCCTCAGATAGGCTGTTAGGGCGTCAGCGTGCTAGCTGGTGAGGCTCTGGATCCTTGGTCTGTACGGGGAATTGCGAAGACCGATGCTTCTGAGAGTTATCTTGGATTTCTACTGATAGCCAGCTTGACAGTACGAATCATGCTGCTTCATTCAGAGGTCAGACTTATCGCAACAATGCAAGTGAAGCTGGTTTGCTGTCTTGAATGTGACAGATTTGTCAGTTCAATAACCGCTTGGTTGCACAAATATGATCAATGCAGTCAGAATACCTCACAAGACTCAAGCGATCTGCGGTTTGAGTCAGGATATCTGGAAACCACTAAGCCGTAGACTGACTTTTCTGATAGTATTCTTCGGTCAGTCAGTCAGTCAGTCAGACAGTGAGTCAGGCAGGCAGTCAGTTAGTCATACGCCTCGTGGCGCGTGGACGGGTATGGCTCGACGCACCGTTCCACACTTCTTCAGATCATGAATTTGGAAATTGGAGTGCAGTGCTATTACTAACAACAGTACAAATTACTCGGCTAGTAGCTGTGACTCCAGAGGTTTGGGGTTTAGGGCTCACGGCTTTGGGCTTGAGGTTAGGGCTTAGGCTTAGGGTTTAGAGTTTAGGGTCTGACACCACTTAAATGACCACACCAACACTACATCTGCGATAGACTCGTGTTTCCTGCACAGCCGTGTTTTTGATAAGTCATGCTAATTTCACTACTGTGCACCGCTCCCACACGCAGGCCACGTAAAACATAACTTCCCTGACCCCGGTACGCCGCAACATGTCCCAAAACGAATCTGCTCCTTTTCGGCAACCAAGTGGTGCAACATATCGGACGCTCGTCACATTGTTTGTGGTCAAACGTCAGAAACTACGGAAAATCTACTAACACAATCCATAGTACTGAAGTGTTTGCACTGTGTTGTCCATCGCTCATGTCGCATGGTGCTAGGACTGCTGGTCTTGCTGTTCGCATTGACTTGGGCTGTTCGATTGCTACTGCGGCTCTTCTTCCGAATATGGGTATTCAGGTTCCTTTAAGAAGTATTGCTGATTCATGATTTAACAAGAATAGTCACGGTATCACGAACGATAATCATACGATTGTCTCATCGCTCAGTATCTCAGTAAATCTACTTATTTCCAATGTTAGTGTTAGAACTTAGAACCAGGATGAAGGACAAAGTCGTGGTACTGCTACTGGTATCACTATGTTCTCCGTACGTTCGTCGCATTGTCAGCGCATGAACAAGATCGTCCGAACCGTACACCCAATCGGCCTTGTTCTTGAAAGACGTGAAAAGCAGCGGCGTGTTGCGAGGGTTCTGTCCGCACTCCTGATTGGACTACTGCAGCAGTTGCACAACGCCTAACATTTCTAAAACTCACAAGACGAAGCTGACTAATGATGATCATAGCCATCACCACCGTCTGAAGCCAACAGATCTAACAGGTCTTGTCGCAACAGGGGGTCACTGTCTGTCCGTCCTTCCTCAGTTGTGTCGCTCGTGACTGAGCAGATGGAGTTATCTATGCATGCTCAGTCATGACATAGTGTCGGCTGCTTGCAAGTGTATTGCTCGTTTCTTGTAGGTTGCCGCGGGTATGCGGTGTGACTTTACCCTTCTAGGAGAGTCGGATGCAATTCACGTTCACCCCAGATTATGGGAAACACGTACAAGCAGCAATAGACTGTACGTGAGATAGGATGTCCTGCTCGCCCTACTGTACTCAACTGCTTTAACGGTTTACCATAAGCTTGCTACTCGCCTGATCTTCCAAATCAAGCTTCTGCTGTTGCTCAAGGATCAATTTCGAGTTCCGATTTTCCACTTCTTCGGCTTTCCTCGCTTAACCCACCGTTGGTGCTCTGCCCTCTCTCTCTAGCTTTCGAGGTGCGCAAGCGAGAAAGCCAAGAAGGCAACCCGAAATTTGAACCATTAAAGAATCATATCTTTCGGTGTCCTCCGGCATGTAGAGCGTGCCTCCCCATACAGTAGTCAGCTCCGCACCCATTGTGCGGAGCCGCTTGGCCACCAGGGCTTCTTCTCGCTGCTCTTCGCTGCAATAGCCCTGGCCGGTGCAAGTCGGTCGAATCACAATAACCGACTACAGTATCCTACCGCACCGCGGCCTGCGTGACGGCCACGGCGCTGCAGCCGTCGCAGAGCTTGGGAATCACCTGACACGACACAAAATGTTGCCCCTGCCCCTACCCCTTGCAAGCCCCCTTGGTTTAAGGTGGGGCCCCTGCCTCTTGCGGAGGCCCGAGTGCCACGGCCAGACCCGAGCCGATGCTCTCCAGGCGCCGGCGCAGAGAGTCCACGCTTTCCAGCAAGAAGCGGGCCCGCCGCGCGTTGCACTTCCTTGCGCCTCCGACTCCCATTGCCGCTGCGGTTACACCTACGGCATGATGACAGCTTGCCTGCCAGTGTCGGCACGTTGAAGCGAGACGGGTCGAACACGAAGACAGGCAGCAGCGACTCGGCACCTTCCGCTGCCGCCTCACACACCGGCTGGCTGGACAAGCTCATTCCAGCGTTCTGGCAAGCATTGCTTCGGCTATTGCCGAGCCCGACACGTCATGTCAGTGTCTTGACCCTTTGTGCTTGGTATTGCTTGGCTATGCATGACCGAAACGACTCCCTCGCTCCAGTATGATTGGAATGGCTGGCCTTCAGTGCAAGGTTGTCGTCAAGACGGAGGTCATTCCTGCCAGAGACTCCAGCATGAAGATAAGCGAAAGGCAAACGGACCGTGCAAGAGGCTCATGCCTGAGCCACAGTGCACGAGCACTCCGGCCCACCACGCGGGCAGACATTGGGGAGACCAGAAGCTCTCCCAAAAAAACTCAAGCAACTGAGCCGAGACAAGCGGGATCAACTTCAGCTCAGCTACTGCAATTATATTCCAGTTGGAGAGCGACACGCATAGACATAACTCTGCAGCATGGACCAGACTGTGCCACGAAAAGCAAGTACTTCACCAAAGAATGTGGTGCAATCTTGTGAGAAGCTTGGCCTGCACGAGGACGCTGACGGTGGAAAGTAGGGGCGCCCAAGCTGGCCATCGTTGAGACTTTGAAAATCGTCCGGTGCCAGAGCAGTCAATCAGGCCTTTCTTTTCCGTCTCAGTCACAATCTCACAGACCAGGAGGAAGGTTGCTACTTTGTGTTTGACCTGGTCAGTTCGTCGAGAGTCGCAACTCACCGTCGCAGTCACAATCGGCCTGCGGCGATGCTAAGCCGTTCTGAATGATCTGGCCCAACCTCAGCAAAGCGATGGTCCCAGCGAAGCTCGATACAGTAGGTGCCATTCCAGAGCATTGCAAGAACAATCCAGAGAAGCGGCAGCCTGACTGGCGATGATCGGGTGGCAAAAAATCGGCTTGGAATCGGTGTGAGCTGGGGCCGTGGGAGCCGGAAAGACAGATCTTGGCTGGCGATGACTGCTGAGTGGTGCGTGCCTGGGGTCCCGGCTGCTGTTTCGCTGCAACTATCTGATCTTTCAGCGTCGGCACGCAGTCCTGTACGGAGGTCCGACACCAGCACTGCCGTGCTCTGCGCAACATCTCCCCTGCCTTCAGGAGCCGAAGAGCTGACTCACAGCTCTCAACTGAAGTGGCTGTGCTCGTATCAGCCTCAGCTTTTGTTTTATACAACACCGACGAGGCCGGAAAACCCCAGAGGCCCTCAGGCCCCGATACCAACACACTCTCCTTGCGTCGGGGGAGCCATTCGGAAGACCTGTGGTAGCAAGGCCGGCCTCGGCTGGCAGTGCAGGAGCTGGCTGCAGACGACCACTCAGATGCAGATGACAATGACGATGAACATGATAGCTAAACGGTGATGATAATGATGATGATCATCATCATTAACGTCATCAAAGTCATCACTGTCTTCTTGACGATGATAGTCACGATTGCAGGCACAAGCAGAACTTGGCACTGCGTCTGGGCTCCGGGCCAGCCGGACGGAGCTCCGAGGCTGGCTCTGGGATCATCCTGCAATTGCGCAACCAAGTGCGGAATGCCCAGGAGCAAAGAGCAGGGAAGCCCAAGACCATGCAAAAGCAAAGTCCGTGTCGCAAACGTAGTCTGCCAACTTGGAGATCACCTATGCGTGCAACTCCGATCCAACCGTAACCCAACATTGCTCTGCACCACCTGGACAGCATCTGATCTTCTGAAGGCTTTGGACGCCATGACCTTACGATTTCTGAGTCAGGGGCCTCGCCAATCTTCTTCTGTATCGCTGGTAATTTCTGGCACGGAGTACAAGCGCAATGACCAGGCTCTGCAGGTTCACATCCTAAAACCTACCGACCATGAGAAGCAGCGGGCCACAACACTGTGCATATCCGTGCATGCTTGCCTCAAAGTACTTCGGATTAAGCTGAAGCGAACTTTCAATGCAACAGAATTGCCTCCTGCTCGTACTGCCGCAAGAGCTCCGCTGCAACCTGACCATGTTTTCATTGTCAACTTTGCCCCGTCAGCTTGACTCACGGGCATGGTCACCTCCTGCTTGTGTGCATCGGTTATCCTTGCCAAGGCAGACTACTGCTTCTTTCTCACTTGCCAGCTCGGCTCCATAATTGCATTCAGCTGTCCTGGCATAGACGAAATCCTTCTCAGCCCCCCTGGTTACCAGCTGGCGCAAGAGGACGCAGTCGTGCCTGCAGAACGCGACCAAACACCTACTGGCAAACTTACAACACGATTTAATTGAGAACTTAATTGACACTGCAAAACTTCAGTTTGCTTCAGAACTGACCTCCGAACGCCCTCGGGCACGTCTGCGCTTCCCAAGACGGCCCTCAGCTGGTACATTTGCTGACGAAAAGACTTTGGACATTGGCACGTAACGTCTGCTCCGGGGGGCACACATCATTCCTATTATGAGGTTGTCCGGCTCAGATTGCTTTGCAGTCTGGTACCTGCGACAGCCAGGTTTGCACAAGTGATCGAAGGCCGTGATCTGCAGATCAAGGGCACATTGTCTCTGCTTGCTGTCGCACGGCATTTTCTGAAGTCTGCAGCCCCTGGGATCGCAAGTCTTGAAAGTCCGACTCAAAAGGCATGTGCTTGGAATCCATTCAGTGCTAATTGCAGTTGCGCCTTCAGCAGTTCAACGAACCTGGACTTGTCCATGACCTGACATGATTGGTGCTAGCCTCATTTCACACATGATACTTTGGACAGTCGCACCTTGGGTGCTGCGGTGGGCGGCTGTCCGTTGCCAAAATTGCACCAAACTGCAGCACCCTCTGACAGCTGGAGCCGCACGGCATTACACGAACCGATTGCATGCATGCCGTAACTAGGCATCAAAAGTTTGCTGCCCTCGGTTCGGTAAAAGATTGAATGGATAACATTAAGTTGGCAACATCGGCATAAACATGGGATGTACTTGGTGCCTGTTCTTTGCTTGGGTTACAGATGCACATCTTCAGGCTTCTATGCTTCTTGGGAGTGCGAAACGATTCCAAAAGAGCCTGAACCAAGCTACTCAACAAGGCTGGCAAGTGCCACCACCCCCTTTCTTCATCATCAGGATCCTAGCCATGACGTATCAAAACCGCGACTGAGGAACGCCTGAAAGGCCTTTGCCATTTGCCTTGTGAGGTGAGCGGCGGCGAACACCCTAACCTATGAAGCCCCGGAAACCATTGACCGTGGCTAGCAAAGGCTTGTGTTCCGACCTCAACTCTGAATCTGCCAACAGCGTGGCAAAAGACCAAAGCGACTCCCATTGGTTTGTTGCCTACCCCTGCGTGGAGAGCAAAGGGCCTTTTTATCCTCAAGGCAGCAAACGGGAGAGAATGCGCTCTTTGGCCTGCACAGGAACGGCATTGAGATGCTTCCACAGAGACTTATCTGGAGCCAAGCTGCTGCTGTGAGGAACGATGCGCCCGTCAATGCACTAGCAATGGAACCTGCCCCACTACATCAAAAAACTGGCTTGCATGAGGAGACATTCGTGAGGCCAGCCTCGTGTCGACACTCTTCCCTGGCTGCCGAACTCCATGTTCTCGATGGCTCGAATCTCGCCCTTTGCAATACGCAGCTTGCTCCACAAAGCCGCCCAAAAGCACTGCAGGAAAAAGGCAGTGCAAGCTTTGCTCGCACTGAGCTTGGAGCAAAGATGCGCTGGGGAGCCCTTCGTCTCACCTGAGATTGCGACTTTTTTGAGCTTTTGGCTCTGGAGTGCGAAGATGCGAGCGAGCCAGCAAGCCTGTGCGATGTGCCACAGGAGCTCATCGGGGTCGCTCACGCGCTTCCGCAGCTCCTGGGCCGGAGACTCTTCGGCTCTCAGGCCGCGTGCTTTGCCGCGTGCCGTTGCGTGCCTTTCCTCCCCTCGCGCGCCGGCCTCGTTCAGGACCCGCGTGCAGCTCTCGAGATCAGGCTCTGCCTGGGCTCGAACTCTTCTGGAGCAGACGGGTCGTCGTCGGTACCGCAGGATCCGACCGCACCACGGCAGCTCTACGTTAATGGAGATGCTGCCCGCCCGCAGGCAACACGACCCGATGCGTTCAATACTCGTGCTGTTCGTCGGTTGCCGACATTAGCAGGCCAAGCAAGTCTTGTCCGCTGAGTGGCCCTACCCCCTTACCCTACAGCAACTCTGGCCTGCAACCTCTGGTTCATCACATGGCTTCAATGCACTGGCACACCTTTATCGGAGAACCATACATCGTCGGAGCTCTGATGGCCAAAGCTTCACACCTGGACTAGACTGCATGGTCGACTCTTGTGTGAGGACCCGTTGAGTGCTCACGAGCAGTGTGTCAGATCCTGGCCGCATTCAAGCCCCGACGGCCATCCGGATGCAGCAGCTGGAACTCCTTCAAGGTAGAGCGCTACGATGAGGAGCCAGGGACTGAACAGTGCAAGCACCATTCAATCGTTCGCACATGCCAGGCTCCAGAATGCGCAGTATGGCGATGGCCGTGCAGTACAGGACAACCTCGCAAGCAGCGATGCCTTGCATGTGGCCGGGTGTCTAGCAAGAGTGTCTGCCTCGCCATCCAGCAGAAAGAGGTCCCACACCACCGAAGCGACATCGACAGTCAAGCACCTGCTGAACGCCGTCGTGCAGCCGCGGGCGAGGACGTGGCATAGATCCACGGCGTGTACAGTCAGACATCGCGAGGAGGAACGCAAGAAGCTGAAGCCTCTCGGACACTCCGTGCTGAGGCCACCACTTCGCGAACACGGTCAAGAACCAGTCGATGAGGAACCTTCCCATGCAGGGCAAGAGCCAACAGCTGGGCATTCTCCTCTCCACTCTAGAAGCCAGCATCAGACGATTAAAAAAAAGCACTCCAAGAGCTGACAAAGCCATTGGAGCGTCAGGAAGTACTCGCTGTGCAAATGCAGAGAGTTCTCAAGTCCTACCAGCCTGACCATGCCTGACCCGCATCCTGCAAGCCCAACTTGACTGAAATTCTCAGATGCGTGAGATAAACGTTGTCTATGCATGGAGACTCGGCGTTTCGTATGCGTCTAGAAAACCACTGAGAGTAGCACATCTCTGGCATGAGTCCGACTTCTCGAATGCCTCGGGATCGCCCAAAAGTAACGACAGCCACATGAACTGCATCGCTGCAAGTCGTGAACAGGATCTTTCACTACTGAAGTCTCGCTGGCTTTAAGGAACTCGAGACGTGGTAGGCCTGCACTGTTCAAGGCCGAGGATGCTGCATCTGCACACATCGGGAAGCTGCTGCGAACACAACCTGACACGAGACACGAGCGACCCTGCTCTGCTAAGCTGTCGATATCTCCCAATCGAGATCCCGGCTGCTCGAACACGCGTGCCTGAAGCTCATTTCCGGCAAAAGCAGAAGATGCCCGCTTCTTCCCGGGGTCCAGTCCCGACAAGCAACTGCACGGGGCTCAAGGCGATAAAGTCCGAGTACCTCGGAAAACAGGGCTCCAGCTCTCCGTGTTAAACGTCTGAGGTGCAATCTTCAGCGCCGTGATTGAAGGGCTTGGTCTTGGAAGTGCCAGCTGCAGTCAGTCGGAACGGCTAGCATCGTATTCCTTCCAGGTCACGGAGGGCGTGTTCAGCAAGTTGCACAAGCCAACCTTGCCACATGGGGCGGAAGTAAGGGAATCGGTCGATGTGGCGAAGCCCTTCTATGCTGCAAGGGCGCGAAGGACTCGTATGGCGGCAAGTAGAGGAGCAGCATGGCCGCCAGATAGCTCCTCAAACCACTGCTCGACAAAACGACCAAGCCCATCTCCTCGTGTTTGTATGCATCTGTCACATTTCAACCACCTTAGGCGCATGCATGCCCTGCACATAGCCGATATCTGGCCGGAAGAAAGTGTATGCCTCCATGGTCTGCAGGCTATGACGTTTGTAACGGGGCAGAGCAGGGACAAAACCCTCACTGCCTCCAGAATCCGTGCGCAGTCTTCATGAAGAGGACCGCCCTGACAAAGCAGAACTGCTAGCCCTTGCTTGCAGATGCTGCCGAAAGCCGGAAATAAACCGGCAAACTCTTGCCGTTGGCCTCGCTGAAGAAGGCCAACGTTGGAAAAGTTCGTGGCAGATCCTCCAAGTGCCGGTTCGAAAGCGGCATTGCAGGAGGGCAAACTGAGGGAAGAGCAAAGGGAATGCAGGTTGTGCTTTGCTCTCGGCCACGATGTGGTGGCCTGAGACAACGGGACTTGCAAGCAATTGCCAGGGTGCACTCAAGGTCCCGTGTTACCCGGCCGCAGGTGCTGAGGTCAACGCGCATCAGTAAGAGTGATAAGCACGTTTGAGGCCGTCACCTGCCCCAAAGCATAGCCCGCACAGCCGCACCAAGATGAGCCAAATTGATCAAAGCGATGACCAGCAGGGCGGCCTGGGCTCTTCGAGCGTCCACTGCGCGCTGCTTGTGGATCTCGAAAAGTTCCGGGGTTATTCGCAGCACCTCGTCGAGCCCGCAGATCACAGTTGGACTCGTCAAGACTTGCTTTACTCGACTACCACGACCGACGTGTGTTGAAGTGCATTGACTCAACTAGGGAAGCTGCATTTCCAATTGCCACTGGCCACACAACCTGCGGCGAGAAGCTTCAGAGCATGGAAATCTAGCATCTGCACGTATCGAAGCTTGCACTTGCCGCCAAAACCAAACCACTCTGAAATGGACCACACACCTGCACGGCTGGCCTCGCGGACGCGTGGGGGCAAGCCCTGGCGCCAAAGGCGTTGCATGCGCTGCGTCGGCTCCATGCCTCCGCTCTTGGCATTCCCTAACAGCCTACAACTATGCAGCTGCAGGCCTGGAACAAAGCTGGGAAGAAGCTCGTGAAGCCAAACGTCGGTGTGCTCCTGAGACAAGCACATGAGTGCCCTGGCTGGATCTGACGGAGCCGCTTGCTGTCTTGAACTGGCCACTGTCAAAACCGCCTTACATGTGGCGCCTGCAGACGGCGCTCTCGACGTTCTTCTCGTTGTCGTCTCTGCTGCTCCTCGCCACAGACACGGAGTCTGGACCTGCCACATACGCGTGGGCGCTCCTCGCGCTGCTCTTGAAGAAGCCGCCTCTGCACCTGGCGATCTCTTCGGCTTGCCACGGCTTGCCCTGGGATGCAATTTTCTGAGAGCTGCACGTTGCGCTCCAAGGCACGAACCTGCACGGAACACTGTCATGCAAGAGCAGCAAGAGCAGCGTTCGGAGAAAGTGATGAGAGCTGGGGCGACAGCGAGGCTACGATGGTGCTCGGACTCCTCCTCCGCCTTTGGCGGAAGGTGGGCCGGCCTGGGCACGGTATGTCACGGCTGTCACAAGTCTTATTCGGGTGGACAATGTTCTGGTCCGGATGCCTCCAGGATGTCACTGAACTGCCAACACCTCGCATGTGAACTGAGAGCTTCAAGAGATCGAAGAAGTGAAAGCGATGTGGGTCATCAGCGAGAGACAGATGCGTCACACCTCAGAATCATGTCAGGTCCGAGCCTGGTGAGTTGGCATCACAGAAGCCCAGCAAGACATCCTCCAAAGTGTCGCTTCCCCGCTTCGCTGGTCGCTCCTAAGCCATCGCCTCCTGCGACACGTTTGGGTTCTCCTCTGGGTCCGGCCGAGGTAGCCTCAGAAACGCTGCGAGGCAATGGGGAGTTGGAAACGTGTTCGCTGCTTAGCTGCTGGCGCTACCTCGGCGGAGCAAACAACGAAATGAGCACCACAAGCGAGTGCCACGACTGGCCTGCACAGCGTGACACTGACACGGCCGTCCTTCCCTCACCTGACCTATGCTGCCGGAATGGACCTTTAAGCTACCACCTGCAATCTAGCGGCGCCGCGCAAGCCCGGGTGGTACTTCACAGTGCAAACTGCTTGCTTTTCAGCCATTCGATCTACAGCCGCTACTACGGCAGTTGTTGCACATACGGTTGCCACTGGCAGTCGGAACCGCATGCATGGCACGCGAAAGGACTGCCGGCATAAGCTGGAACCAAGCTCTAGTGTAGACATGTGCGGACCAACTATCCGAAATGCCTCGTCTCAGCAAGAATCGAACACAGCAGGAATGAAGCCGTCTGTTGATGAGAACACAAGAGAAAGACAACCCTTAGAAGCTTTCGGAGCTAGTGTCTGGCGCTTCTAGCAGCCAGAAACGTTCAGCAGTCAGACAACACACAGTTTCAAATCAGGATAAGCGATCATCGCCCGATGGCAAAGGCATAATGGATCTGCTGACACACTTCTGTATGCTGGGTATCGCGGAGCGAAGTGACTACTGCCGAACACAATTCAACGATTCGTGATAGTAACCTAGGAGGCTACGGCCGGAACGACATGGGCACCCCGGTGGCAAAGCCAGATGGAAAACGGAGAGGTGCCCCACCCACACGCAAGCGACTCTGTAGCGCACACAGTCGCACAGCTCACGCAGCCAGTGGAAGCAACAAGTAGCACAAATAGAAGATCTTCCACACGAACATGTAGAACTCGAAGACTTGCTTCGGCTTTTCAGCATCGACGAGCTTCTCCTCCCGGGAACAAAAGATATTCACACGACCCACGGCACCTGCTTCTGGAAGCTCCCAGCTAGGTATCGACTTTCCCCGTCGGATCCTTTCTTCGGAGGGATCTGCAAAAGAGAAGGGAAACTACGGCCAACACGCCTGCCGAGATCACGCATCGGGGCTGCCAAACAATCGACCGGAACTTGTCAGGACACAGCACTTCCGTCCACTTTGCACCGCCACGCCTCTGGCCATAGCTGTGCCAGGAACCCCAGTCGCAAAGGCCAAGACGCTCGCCACACTGAAGCTTACCGAAGTGCTCAGCAGCAAAGACTTGAGGAGGAAGACGGCCTGCCCATCTGCTCACTCGAAGCCGTGCCCAACTCCCGCTGAGTTAATTCTCCGAGGTCAGCACAATCTGCAAGGCCCGCGCTGGGCCCAACCGCACACTGACCGACCGGATACTCGCTTTCTGGTCCCCAAGCACGTCGGGGACATCCTGACACACTCCCCGTGAGCTGTAAAAGCACAGGGCAGACGATGATCCTTCCAACATATACAAGTTATACAGGCATACATCGATGTCTGCATCCCCACGGCTGCTGGCACAGGCAAGCGAAAGCCAGGGTCCTTCATCAAAGCTATCACCAAGCCGAAAGCTGCAAAGAAGGCTGCAGCCATTGCGCTTCGGAATGTCGACACCTGTCCTGCACGGCAGACAGCAGTGACATGCCCATGCTGCGCAACTGCCATAGCCTGCTACACCAAGGGCATGCCCAATGTAATAGTAGAAGCCCATGTTGACGACCACACCACGAACAACAATGATGCCTTGCTTGGTCTTTTCTTGCAGAGCGTCACGAACACCAGCGCAAGAAATCAAAATAAACACCCAATGACCAAGCTACTCAGCGCAGCCAGAAAGGGAAAGCGCTTCAAGCGAAAGGGTGGCACTGAGTAAGCTGTGCCCAGGATTGCGCTTGCGATCAAAGGGAACTGTAGCGCCATGACACCGGCCGTCCTCAGCAAATCAAGTCCACTTCGTATGGAAAGTTGAATGCTGCCCAGCTCGAGCCAAGGCTCTCATAGGTGCATGTCACGGCCTCTGCACCGAAGAGACAGCCAAGGACGATCAGCCATGCAGAGCCATTGGAGAGTCGGCCAGAGGGAATCGGGAGATATGGCTTGTTCCTCAGCTGGCAAAACGGTTTTCAAGCTGCAGCTTTCGCAACCGTTGCACGACTGAGCCTGCGACTGGCGATCGATCTCGACCTAATGAGAACACAGGTCCCGACACGTTGCCTGCGAATTGCCGTCCGAGTTGCATCGTAGATCTGATTCAGGCCAGTGATGTAGACCTTGGCTTTGATGCGAGACAGCCGGTGAGGTGGGTGTTCCAAGTCCCAGTCCTATCTACTTTTCACACCAGAGTCGCATTCACGAGCATCGCCGGCACCAGTGCCCGGAGCGTCTGGATTGCGAAGAGCGGCCAGCTGATGGAAGGCAGCGGAGCCACTGCAAAGAGGTGTACCTCAAACAGCGGGAGCTCCTGTGATTCAACCGGTAGGCGATGAGGGTGAAGATACTGCAGAGCGTGACGTTCAAGCTGATGGATGTTGCCGAGCTACCGTCGTGATCGAGATGACGGTCCCGATCAATGTGTGGGGGCGCGTGAAATCCTTACCGACAGCTTGCAGACAGGCATGCAGGAAGGAGCGCCAAAAACAATCTGCGGAAACCTGGGCATTTAGGCCTACAAAGCGTTGGATCAGATCTTCTCGCTGAATCTCTTCTAAGTGTCCCAGACGGTCTTTATCTTGGCCAGCAAGGCTGCCTGAGCACTGAAAGATCTGCAAAACACTGGGATGGGAATAGATCGGGTGTTGAGTTTTTCCAAGATAAGACACTTCACGACACTGCACGCGAGCTGATGACCATGCCACAGTCAACATGCATTCCCACCGAAAGTATTCTGCGATTCATCCGGCATCCCGGGCACCCGCGTGGCATGTGCACCTGTGAGTTCCTATGGGCCTTTGAGGCTCTGGAGTTCAATCACCGGGTTAGACTTCCCATCACTTCGCCACTGCATCGAGTGCAAGACTAAGACTAGCTTAGTGGTAGCAGCCTCGCTGGCAGACGACAAACTGATTATGTTGCTTTCACCTCTGTATCGCTTCGGCTGTCATGGCTTCGATCAGTGTAGGTGCTATTCGCGATCACTCTGCCGGCCGAGATGGATCCAAGGGGCGAGTCTCGAGAATTTCGTGGTCGAAGATGAGACCACCTATGCAAAATCGAGCACCTATGCAAAAGCATAATGTGGGGAATGGAGGAACCCCCCCCCCCCCCGCCCAGCCAGACAAATCAATACACGGTGGGGTTGGGGAAGCACAGTATAGTCAGGTGTCTCAACACTCGTGCCCTCAACCAGCCTGCCCCAAAGCGCCATAGAGCGCCAGCCGTTTTGGCTTTGCTTTCCATGCCGACAGCGCTGACGGTGCAGAAGCTGCAGCCGTACTTGCAGCAGCAATGTCACCGCCTGGCAAATAGCAAGCACATAATATCCGTGCAGCTATCCATTCTTCGATGCGACTGTTGCGACTGCTGCTCGCCGAAATCAAGGGCATTCATGAGATGTGCAAGCAATGGCCATGTCAGGCCATGTCTAGTGACCCGTGAGCTGGCCTTGCACCTTGCATCCCGTCATCAAGCCAAAGCGGACCGTTCCAGTTCGATAGCCCCGGTTCATGAGAGGCATCACCAAAGCACCGCGGAAGGTCTCCAGGCCACCTGCAAAAAGTGCAATTGGTCGTCAGTGGCGACTTCGACTTCCCTGACACGGCCTCTTGCGAGTGCCCACCAACCCCGCGGCTGCAAGGCCGTCTGGATAACGGCTGACCAGAAGGGCGCAATGAACTTGGACCAGTCATCGCTTCGGATGCCTGGGCCGTGCCCTTTGCCACACCCGAATCAAATCTTGATGAATGCCGGATGCAGCAAGAGCTGCAAGAGCCACCTATAGCACTTCTCTTCTACAGCGTGCTTGTCTTGTTAATGCGAGTCCCTGGCCTGTCATGCCCAACTTCTCTGTGGCTATGTGACAGTAGTCGTTGATGCTGCACCAATCTGGCAAGTGGTACGCCTGGCTAATGCGCTTGAGGAGGCGGACCTCCTGAATTGCGGACTGATGCCTGCACTCTGATGACCATGCAGGCCCTTGCATCGGCACATCTGGGACCAGAATCCACTGAGCGGATCTAAGCGGTCCTTCGGCTTCAGCTCTTCGTTCTCTTCCAGATTTCGGTGCACCCAGGTGACAAGGATGATGCGGCCACCAGGTTTGCACACACGGTGCATTTCACTCATAAACCTCAGTTGACTCGCATCACGACTATCGTGAAGACGAGCTAGTGCCAAGCCGCTTGGCTTTCTCCGGCATGTGCTCGCCGCTTTCGAGCGACCACACGAGGTCAAAAGAGTTGTCTGCGAAGGGCATCTTCAGTGCATCCGCAACTTTGAAAGTGCAGTCGGGCTGTGACTTGGAGAGCGCTGTGGCTTGTGCTTGCTGCTTGGGGCTCAAAGTGATGCCGGTGACCTTTGCACCGTACTTCTTCTGCAAGTAGCGGGAAGAGCCTCCGACTCCGCAGCCGACATCCAGGATCGCTTGTGGAGTAGGGTCTGATGAGACATCTGCCCAACTCAGCACCTCCTCAATCATCCGGACTTGGGCCTCTCGGTGCTGCTTCAGGGATCTCCACGAGTTGTCCTTCGCAGACACCGGAGGATGGAACGCAAGACCACCCCAGCCCGGAACATCTTATGATGCCACTGTGTCAACTGTCCTCGTAGTAGCCATGGTGCAAGTGATCCCCCCAGATCTCCACCCAAACGCCCGTTGAGGCATCGTAAAAGTCTGCAATGCCCTCTTGCAGAGTCCTCTGCTTCTGCCGAAATTTTGCCCTGAGCAGCAGAGCTGCTGCGAGCGCCCCGGCCCAGAGCGCGGCCGGAGCTACAGATCTTCGCGCAACGGCCGCCAGATTCCCGCGACCCAAGCTGTGGCTGTGGCTGCGGCCGCCTCTGAATCGACTCTTGGGCTCCTGGAAGCCGACAAAAGCTACTTCTTGAGATCCTTGACTCCGTGCTGGTGCTGCCCTCATCGATGGTTCTGCGCAGTTGTAATGGCCACCGAACTCCTCAAGGCTGGACGGCAGAGACGAGTCATGAAGAGTCGCTTGACAGTTTATGTGGCTTGGCTTAGACACGAAATCTTTGCTGGTACAAGTAGAAGCTCCAGCGCTGCTTGCTTGAACGTGGCGTACTCTGCGACCCGCTTCTGTCGAGCCTCCTCAGCTCTCGGCACAGTGCGGACTCTGTGCGCTACAATCGTCATCAGAATCATAGAAACAGTCGCAGCACCTGCAGAGGCAAGCGGCCCACAGACGAACGACCGCAGTCGCCGTGTGAGTTTCCGTGCTGCCCGGAGTTCGGCTAAATCCTTTGGCAGTTGGCACGAAGATGTTCTCCGAGAAACCTGGCACATGCTTGCTTGCATTCTCCGGTAGGCCATATGACCTATGGCCAATGCTAGAGCTTGCAAACCGGTTGTCAACTCGCTGTTCGTTGCGGGCCGCTGCTCACCGGGGCCGAAATCACGAGCTCCAGACGGCGACCCCGCGATCTAGCTATCAGGGAGAACGTGCCGTTGCAGCCATCCACCTGGGGCAATTGTAGACAAGAAGTGCAGAAAGTAAAGCTGCAAAAACAATAACACTGGCTAGCAGGTATGTCCCTCACCCTGAAGAAGCAAACAAAGGCCACTCTCTGGAAAAAAAGCTGGCATGTTATGTGCTGGAGCCTCATCACGAAAACCATGCCCATCGATGGTCCGGAAGGTCCACTGACGATGTTTGGAGCGGAACGCTAGGATGTACTGGTTCGTGGTCAGACCCGATATGGTAAACCTTTGCTTTCACGATACATCTGAAAACAAGTCTGTAAACATTCTTGCTCTCTTGCTACATGCAACGGAGTGGTAGCAGACAGCTTTTAAACCCAAGATGCTTGCCACCCGTCAAGACAAGCTGAGTTGTTCCTCCGTCTGCGATGCCCTGTGACCAGACGAAGGCTGATGGAAATCGCTTTCCGTAGTTCATCTCCTGTGAGCAAAGATAGCAACGACGCCGCAAAGCAATATTCGGCACTGCAGTCGGAGCAATTCGGAGCCTGGTGAGCGAAACCTTGGCCTTGCTGGCCGTTCAGCTCATAGTCTGTGGGCGACGCCAACGTTTCCACGAAGTAGTGTGTTGGCCTCTGCAAAACACATCGGACCGGTCGGATGAGTCAAAGTTGCGCTCCCGCATGATTTGTCAGCAGGTTCGGCCTGCCACGGCTGTGCGTGATGTGATGTTTTCCTGTGAACTGTGTAAATGGGAGTACGAACCTCAATGTAGGAAAACCAGCAGCTAGCAGTGTTCAAGACCAACTCGCTCTCCCTGCAAAACCGACTTTCTTGAGCAGATCAGAAGACCCCACAAAGGCCATCCCTACAGGTTCTGCTTCGCATGCTCAACCTACATATACCTTAGCAACCTCTAGAGTTTCGTGTCGTCCCTGAGCTCAAGCACTACGCATCACTACAGCAGCGGAGAATGCACCGCAGGGAGCGCTCACCTTCCCCCAGCTCTCGAGATGGCAAGAGTTGCAGCGTGTTGAAAAGAATCTGCATTGAAGTCCACTTGCCGTCCGTGAGCTGGCTCGCACAGAACGAACGGGCGCCACTTTAAAGCTTCTGGTGAAGAGGGAGTGGCAAGGGCCGGGTGGGAATGGGGCTTTGCTGGTTCGTTTTGTTTTGTCACGGGTTCCTGCATTCTCTTGCAACTTCAGTCCATGGCAACGGCACAGCCACAGCCTTCATTCTACCGGCACCACGACGCAGACACGCGCGAAAGTCGGAGAATGAAGCTTCGAACAAGTAACCATCAAGTGTAGAAGCAATGACCGACCAAAAAGATGCTCCTAAATTGACTTAGATCAGGCCGGGTGGCAGCATCACGGAGGGTAGTCGCTGCACCCAGCCTTCAGGCCCTTCGAGAGGTCTGTCTGCATTCCAAAGGATTCGGCCCGACAGCTGCGCCGACAGGCGAAGCCCAGAAGGGAAGCTGAAATCCTGACAGCTTGTCGTCCGCACTTTCAATGCCATGCCCCCTCGACTCTCGCAGAGAAACTAGCGCTGCAAGGCTGAACGAATGCAAGAGACGAGCGCTGAGCTGGAGCCGTTGGTCTGAAATCTCCTGAGCCCATGCGGTGATCCCGCCTTTTCCTGTAGCCTGACGCATCGCTACCATGGCACTCTGAAGTGAGAAAGCCAAAAAATGCATGAGAACTGGAAAGCACCCTTGCCACATGACAAAGCCTCGTTCTTTCTGGATGACTCGGTGCATTTGCACTTTCCGGAGGGACGTTTGCGTGGGTAGAGTCTAACACTCGAACTCTTTGGCTCCTGGGCCTGTGGAAATAGGGGTCAAAACAGCATCCCGTCTGCATCTGTCTGCCAACAAAGGCTCCCGAGAGGCAGAGTCCAGGAGTTGCTGCCATGGTAACGATGTGTCAGCTCAAGGGATGGCTCATCCGCATTTTGCATCAGCGCCTGGGAATTCAGTTGAATTCTTGTTCGTCCAGACAGTAAGAGGGACATGCCAGAGCGACCTGTGCTGGATCTGAAAACACCTGCCACTGTGCAGCTGGCACAGGAGCAACCCATGTACAAATATATAAGGGGGTGCTTGTCAAAGTGACCTGCTCCACATGCTGCTCACCATCTGCATCTGCCACTAGGACAGCGGTGTACACCTTCCAAAAATGCAATCCACAACTTTGGTGCAGTCTTGGCAAGCAGGCGACAAGGCCTCTGACCACTGCGGCTCCGTATTCTGAAAAGAGCCCAAGATCAGTGTCATCGTACCTCGGCGACAGCTAAGGCTGCCACGGGCTCCCCAAGCAAGTCTGGCCAGTGCAGCGAAGAGGCGCTGCGCCTTGAGATCGGTAATTCGCGTACACCAACCATTAAACCAAGGTCCATGAGAGCCCTTGCCGCGCTTGCCGGTCGAAAGCGAAAGCAGACCTGCAAGTTGCCAGGGTTGCAAGGGCTCGTTTGGGATGCCTACACATGCACTATCATGCACTTTGGTGGTGACCACGAAGAAGCATGTTATGTGCTGGCATGCAACACAGCAGCAGCAGCATGAAGGGCAGCGTTGCCTGAGCAGACCGTCGAGCAAGAGAGAGAGAGAGAGATAGAGAGAGAGAGAGAGACACACACAGACAGAGAGAGAGAGAGAGGGAGAGGGAGAGGGGGGTAAAGCAGGACCTGTTGGGCATGCAAGCTCCATCTCCATCTGCGAACTAGGTACCGCCATGACTCTCCGCCGCCAACCGAACTTGGCGTGCATCTGGTTCAATGCCCGGGGTGATTAGCCCGCAGTTGGCTGAGGACTTTCACGCTTTTTGTGATGACCGGGACACTGAGGTAAAAAACAGCTCTGATGAAATCACCAAGCTTGGGTTTGCCACGGGTGCTGAATGAAGTTGGGCCAGATTCTGCCACCGGCACGGAAGCCATGACTCGTTATTCTGGCTATGTCGCATGCTGCTTGCTGCAACACTACGATTTCCTCGGCCGGTGGTAGGCTCCGATGTCATGTCCGTGTTTATGAAATGAGCCAATGGCTTCAATGTCAGGGCCGGCTCTTAGGCTTGGCAGCAGCATTCGAAAGTACCGATGCTGTCAACTTTGTTCGGGGATCTTAGTCCTACTGGACATAAGATCCGGCCCGAGCCTCTCAGGTCCAAATTCCGACACTGGCTGAGGCCCTCTTCGCGGTGCCTGGGGGCGAAAATGCTGTCGGATGTCGGACCGTATGTGGATGTGGCGCAACACTTGTCTACTGTATTTGCAGGTCTTAATTCTATGGCCATCGCTGGCTCGGTGTCGGGTTCAATTATTTGTTGCTTAGCCCGTGTGCTGCCGCCCGCTATCGGAGAACCCTGATCAGTATTGCATTTACTTCTTCGACTGCCCTTCTTGCGAAAGGAGCTTTCCTTCGCACCGGGGTCATTCGTCTTGCGCAGGTCGATCCCCCAGATATGCACGCACCTGACCAGCGCTTTGCTGCATCGAGGCTGCACGCATCCCTACATTTCTTGGTCGGCAGACTCTTGTTTTCCCCTCCGTCTTGCTGCAATCAGGATGCCCCTGGGAGCAAACAGCTGCAGTGTGCAATGGCCCGCAGCTTATACGCCGCGCGCAGACCTGCAAGCTGTGTCTAGCAAGGCCGAGGGATCAGCGGTTCTATGCGGAGTCGCAACAGATGTTGTGCTTGCGACAGCGTAACTTGCAAAAGAGTTTGCAGGGAGGCAAACACAGTGCGAGACAGACAGGGACACTGCATGCCTGTGCCTGTTTGCATGTAAGTCTGTAACTGTCTACAGATACGAACATGCACATTTGCATATCCGTCCATGCGTTCGTACATGCATGCATCCAGCATCCGTCCATCCGTCCATTCAGCAATGCATGCCTGCCTGCCTGCCTGCATACATATGTGCGTGCAAGCGTGCGGACATCCATCCGTTTCCCCCATCCATCCATCCCTGCCTCCCTGCCTGCCGTGCCTGCATACACAACATAACATAGCATCACATCACATACTTTATGACATAGCAGAAGTTTGCAGAACATCAATGGACACCATATAACACGACACAACATTACATCGCATTGTCTTACATCACACTACATTACATCATACATACGAGCCAACAAACAACACAAAGCAAAACAACATAAAACAAACAGACAAACAGACAAACAGGCAAACATACATACAGACATACACACATACATACATAAATACATACATACTTGCGAAGAGGGGCGACGAAAGCTAGGTCAAGCAAGCGCAGACAGGATAGACAAAATGACAGCACCGCATTGCCTACCAGGTCGAACAGCAATGAGGACAGTACATGCATTGACAAAGAGCGATGCAGAAGCATTGTGGTTCTGCTCGTGCTGTGTTGCTTAGACCGACCCTGGGAATCCTGCCAGGTGGCGCAGCACATGCGGAGCTACATATTAACATGCATACGTACATACATACATTTCTGTGTAAAATGTGTAAAAGTGTATCATCTATGCAGTGGAACAAGCTGTGTATGCTCCTTCACGTACTCGTTGACTCAGTTATTCACTTACTCACTTAGTTTAGCTAGCAAGCTGACTACTTGGTGACATAACTAGTTTGTCGCTAGCCAGCTAACTTGTTTAGCAGCCCGGCAAAAAATTAGCAGTACGCTAGTTGGCTTGGTACTCAGCCGTAGCTCCGTCCATGCGAAGCTTTCCCTCGAAACGGCTGTTCGCCGTTTCAACTGCCTGATCTTAAACTACTTCTCTGCAGCCCTCAGCCGTGTTGGGGATGTAAGACCTTTACTGCTTTACGGTTCGGATCCCCTCAAGAACCGCTTCTCAGCGACCACGGAGCCCCAATTTTTAAACAGGCTGCGCGGGGCTTCGCGTGAGATTGCCTCACACGAAGATTTCCGTGACACTCATGCCGCATGGGATTGTTGTTGGGATTCCACCTCCCTCGTGTAGTGAATTAGTTTATCCAGATTGAATACAGCCGGAAAAAAGTGTATTTACTTCTCAGCTCGTTGGCTTGCTGGCTGGTTTGTCAGTCAGAAATTGAGTAGTTAATTGTATAGTTGGGCAGCTACCTGGCTAGCTAGCCAGGCCGCCATCGCTCACTCGGAAAGCAAACTACTGGGTTGGTACGGAAGATTGTTTGCTGGTTCAGCTACTCGTTACATGTCGAGCAGGGTGCACACATGGATTTATGATGTCGTAACACTTGGGCATGCAAGCGCCTAGTACATTCATGTTTTGATCGGTCCAGCCTGTTGGACATGCACAAGCATAAACGCGTCTGCTGTCGGTAATCAGATTTTGGTATGGAGAGAGACGAGAAGAGGACAGAAGAAATAGTCCTGTACTGGTATGGATTAAGACAAGAGACGCCGCGGAGAGCAGAAAAGGGAGTATAGATGAAGTGGGAACATTCCCAAACGGCTGTCTGGTTCACATTCTGGACATGAACGGATGGGCACAAGCACAAGCGAACACGAGAGAAAGAGAGAGACAGAGTTGGAGAGGGAGGGAGGTAGAAGAACATGCAAAAACCAATCAGGATGCATCGGTCAACGATTCCCAACCTCTTTCGTCCGCGCACCATCCGGCACCTGGAACCATGCAAGCAAAATTGCGCTTATTTGCGGTTAGTGGCAAGACTGCAGGTCAAGAGCATGAGATAGGCAGCGACTGGGACTTTCAACTCGTTTCCATGCTCCCTCGAGAGTCCTCCAATTTGGGGCAGGAAGCGAAAGGAGGCAGCTTTGGCCTGACGTCATATTTGTGCAAGTTGACGTCCTACCGAAAGCATGCTAGTTCCAGAAGCCGAGCCTCGTCAATTCCTCACCGGCTCGACCCAGCCTCTCTGCATGATCCAACGACTACACCACTCCAAAGCCCCGAGCGAACTCAGCTGTGGACTGTCCATAGTCATCTGCACCGAAACATACTAGAGAACCCTGGCAGATCAGAGCCTGGGCCCAACGACCAGACAAAACAGCAAAAGCCATCAAATCCGTTGATCCTCAGAAGTATGCAGTGTGACGTAGGCCACAGCTCACCTGCGTGATGCGCTGTGGTAACCTGCCAGGGTTTTCCAAGCCGTCAGCCCCCCCAAGCGCCCTTCCAGTGGCAGCGAGCATGCTGGACAGATCACACTTGCGTCGCGTGCCTCCTGGAGGGACGCGGTGGAGGCGAGGCTCGCAGCGTAGGGGTGCCTCGCAATCTCAAGAATGCTGGGCGGCCACGCAGCATTTGTCTTTTCCGACTTTCATGCGACGTTGCGGCTAACACAAACAGCTGGTCTTGCATCCAAGGTCAGGCATCGTCATGCATACAATGCCTAATGCCTAAGGTAGCTTTCCCGCGGGCCTGCGTCAGCATTCGACGACGTCTTCTGGCCGAGTCGATCGGACAAGAAATCCTCACGTGCAAGCAATGCTTGTCGCGTCGCCGGCTATGCCCTGGGCCTAGGACAGTGCAAAGATAATAGGAGTGATACGACTCCTATGGCACTGGTTCCAAGCGGTCGACAACCTTCCCAGAGTCTCTCGAAGGCACAAGTGTCCCAATGCTGAACGTGACTCTCGAAAGATCTCGAAAGAACAGGAAAGGATACCAGGGGTGTTTGCAACGATCCGTTCCGAGGTGGCACTCTGAGCCCAAAGTCCCAAAGCGCACGTCATCTTCACAAGTACCACACTGCTCCAAAACTGGGTGAATCATGCCAACAGCATGCGATGCTCTGCCTCCCTACGTTCTTGACAATGACAAAAGCAACCTTTCTAGAGCCTACACTGCAGTCGCTGGTGGAATTTGAATGCCCTATGGCTTAGGTATGGCCCAATCACACGCCCACCCAAGAAATATTGGGGAAGCTGGAAATTAAGGCCGCTGCTCCAAGCTCCTGGGTCAGCCACGGCACTGCCTGCGGCAGACCTTGTGAGGCAGCCTCCGCCGGTTTGGCACACAACGACGATGCTGATGCTGCGACAAAAAAGACAAATAGACCGTGATAAACCTGATGTGCACATCGTCGCGAGATCTTCAGCGACTCTCGAGCTGTGACTTGCAAGGTTTCGCCCAGCGTGTACTTGGCCTGGCCTCGTAGCCCAGTCGCCCATTCTGTCCGCAGCCCCAGGTATACACCGCCCCCGCGCTGTCCTCCATCTGGGACAGCACACCCGGATCTGCAAATAGTCAAACTGCTGGCGCCTCATCAAAGCTGGCTGCGACCATGTGGCTTTCGCCGCAGGCAACTACCTGAAGAGCAATGCGGAGTATTCAACATATTTCAACATGGGATTGAAGGCTCAAGAAAGCGTCCTGCAACTGCGGCCTATCCTGCCAAGACCTCCTCTGATGCGCTAGCCGCTAGAATGAGCTCAAAAAAAGTACTACCCAAGAACGGAACCAAACGAACTAAGGTCATGCAAGTCCTCAGCCTCTAAGACTGCTCAGGTCAACACGGATTGCTGCTGCCAAGCAGCTTCTGCTATATGCTTGTCGTGTCTTAATCCCAGGACAGGCTGCCTTTTGCTTGGTGCAACTGATACCAAACGACACAACAAGCATGACACGTCGACAAAGCCCCGCCAATCAAACGCTGCTTCAACGATCCAACACTCTCCTGTTTCTGCAGGCTCAGTGTGGAGAACTGCGAAGGGCACGTGGCTGAAAATCAGATCACACTTGCTCGATAAAATCCTCCTGCCTGTCTTTGCAAACGACGGGAATCTGGCAAAGAAT